GCTTCTCTTGCCACTCAGGAGATGGAAAGAGGAATTTAGGGGGTAGTCTTTGGTTCTAGGTCTTTGGGTAGATTCCATTTGGAGCATCCAGAGGTAAGCCAGAGGTCTTGTGTCTCCTGAATTCATCCACCCCAGTGATGGTAGTGAGGTGTGTGTTCAGAGGTTTTTGCCTTAGGACGCATGCACTCACTGGAGAGAGACAGAAACAGTGAGAAGGAAAGTGAGGAATCACTCCTCCATTGGGGGATGGCCACTCCACAATTCCTTCTCCTCCATTCTCCTCCCAGGAACCTGGGCACACACGCACATGTGCCCAGTGTGAATTTCAAACCATCAGGTCTGCTGGCCCCTTGAGATATATTTTAGACTGAGGGAAATACTTCTGAGCACTGTTTTGGCTCATTATTACAAACCTCCTCTGTGAAGCATGTAAAGTTTATCTTTTCCTAAAAAAATTGATATACGTCACCTTTCAACATTACTGGTATTATTATCTTTTAGCATTTTTCCAGAAGTTTGCACTGGCTTCAATTAGTTTTCTAGTTTACTATTAGGTTGTCAGGAAAGTCATTATGTGTTTTTCTATGCAAAAATGAGTCATGACTTTCACGACAACCCTAGTTTGGTTTTGCACTTTGTCTACATGGATGATTTTTGTGGCAAATTGAAAATTTAAGTATTTGTTTGCCAATTCTGTAATCTAAGGTTTGAATCTTTTAACCGATGACGGAGGAATAAATCTAGGTAGTTCCTAATGTAGGATATGCTTAGGGAATTAGAATACTGATTTGGATCAGGCTGAGGAGCAACCTTAGGCCTGCTGATTCAAAGAGGAGTTACTATGGGACCAGCAGTCGGCATAATTGCGATGTCGCTGGACTCGCATGTAGTCGACTGCAGTTCGAGTCCCGGACCTGGTGGCTTAAACTCATGCCCAGCACATGTGCATGCGTGCCCAAGATCCCAAGAGGAGAATGGAGGAGAAGGGATTGTGGCGTGGCCATCCTCCCCAGGGACTGCTTTTTCACTTTCTGTCTCTCTGTCTCTCTCTGTCTTGCTGGTGAGCACATGCACCCTACAGCAAAAACCTCTCCAAACAAACAAACAAGCAAACAAACAGACAAAAAACAAAGATGAGTTACTAGGGTTGGCTAGGCTGGCTACATGAAATTGTAGGGTCTGGGAATAATCATGACCCTGGGGAGAATTCAAGTTGGTGGAGTTCTTTTACTTGTGTAATTTGCCTTGCTTGGAACTCACTTCCTATTCCTTTTCCTCCAACATTTATTTTAAAATTTTGAATTTTCTCTAATAGTTATGTAAGATTTTACTTCACATTCTTATTAAATCAACCCATTCATTCATACATGCATACATTCATTCACTTCTTAAATATACTCCTCAGTGTGAAAACACTAATTTTTCAAAAACGAGGCTATAGTTACCATCCTCAACAATCTCACTGAGCAATTTCTTCATACTTAACTCTCCTGTTTGGGTCACTGTAGTCCATCCAGTCATGCTTCAGTATTCACGTAAGTGGTTTTGTGTTCTACGTATTCCCACTATAATCTCTGAAATGGCCTGCATTTCTGATGTGACTATACATACTCATTAGCAATATGCTTTCTTCTTTTTCTGACTTATCAGAGGGTCTGCTACTTTGCACAGAGTAGGCTCCTAGCATACACTGTTAACCGAGGAACTATTTTCAAAGTGAATGAATAGTGTCAGTTGATCATTATTTTTACGTGTGATTACTGATGGTGCTAATAGGGACATGAACGTTGTTGAGGACGTGGTCAACTGACATGAAAAGAGTCACTCCAATACAGCCTGTTGACAGTTTGCAGATGAAACACAGCCTGCAATCTCCTTGTATATACCAGGTACCTCCTAGAAAGTACTGCATTGGTTTGGTATTGGTTTTTGTTGACAGTATAATTAAATTAAGGCTCTATCTATATGGGTATCTTCGCTGTGTGTTGTACCTGTTCAAGAAGTACAGCTTTGCGGAGTTTCTCTAATGAAGTGCCTAAATGGTATTGTTCTTTCAAGCTGTCAGTGAGGCATGCACATTATTCAAGTGAATTTCAGTGACCTCCTCTACTCTAGAGGGAGCCCAGGGTCAGAACACATTTTTATAAATAATGCACTATTTGCTTTACAGCTCTGATCATCTTATCCTGTCTTTGAGGCTATCGAATAACAAGGAGGCTGTTGTTTGTTAGGACAAAGGTATTTGCAGGGGAACTGATCAAACTACTATTATTAATAATGTCCTTACTAAGGCATCACCAATGCTTTTGTGCATTTGAGACTACCAAATAGATTAAAGTTTTGTTCTGAAAACTACGGAGGCATACAGAACTAAAGCAGCTTATGAGCACAGTGGGGTGGTGGTTCTTTCCTAAGACACATTTGTGTCTGGGAGAATTGCTGTCCCAATTCAGCAGGAATGTAACCCCTTGGCAAGGGGTCTTCTAGAAGATTGGCCATAGAAGCCCTTAAAGGTAGTCATGACAACAGGCAACTGTTATCAATGAGTTATTTTATTTTTTTTCTCCTGACGAGGGCACTGGCATGCTCCTGGGAAAAAATGACAAGGAAGGCTCATTATAACCATAGTCAGAGGTTACTATTGGGTCGTTAGAAAATTCATGACGCATTTTTGCATAGAGAAACAGAAAAAATACATCGTGACTTTTCTAACAACCCAGTAGAAAATGAGAATAAATTTTACCCTTTACTACGGTGGGAGTCAGGAGGAAGAGCAGAATTGTGACGGATGGTAGAGACACACTCTCCTTAATTCATACCATTCAATTTCAGCATGATGGACTCAGTGTACCCGTTTTCATCTTCATATATGCCCCTTGCTTTCCCTGCACTAGCTGTACATCGGAGTGGCTAGAACACTTGGCCAGAGAGGTCAAGAATGAATTGCTTTTCAAGGGAACCCATGAACTTCACAGCTCACATTCTACTTCAATTGTAGGAATTGATAAAAATACAGGACATCTAGTTTAACCGGGATAGTAAATAAATGAAACATGATTACTTCAGTATAAGTATGCCCCAAATATGGCATACAGAAAATTCTAATACTAAACATTATTTGTTATTTATTTGAAATTCAAATTTCAAATATATGTCCTATATTTTTAGCTGCTAAATCTGGAAACCTTATGAGAGGTGGGGGATTCAAGATATACTTCTTACCCCCTAACAGCCAGCCATCGGCCACTGGTTGCTGAACAAAAGCAACTACAGATGGCCTTCAGAGCAGGTAATGTAGTTGGCACTGTTGTTTCCAGAAAGCTCTGAGGGAAATGCTCCTGTCCTGCCTGGTCATTCCTGACTGCCTTTAATCTTACTATTCACAGGAAATGGACATAATATTGGCTTGAGAAGATACATTTCTTGGGTGGTTTGATAGTTGTATTTCAATATGGAGGGTAGATGGAGGCAGATGAGCCCTAAAGATGGGGAGACGGGTCTAGCTGGGGTGTCTAATTAACCTTCTATTCCAGGGAGAGTGTGGACCCGGGATGTAGCCCCAGAGTGCCTTGGGTGCACTAAAAAGAGACAGACCTGCCCTTCTGTCCACCCTTTTCTTATTCTCTCTTCACTCTGTTTTCACTCCTTTCTATTTTTCCTACTCCCTTCACTGCCTGAGTATCTCTGAAGTGTGTACCATTCTGAGAGCTCGTGGAGACTGTGAGGTTAAAGTGTGAAGGAACCTTTTAAACCAAAGTTCTCCTGGTGTGGGATAGGGATTGAGCGAGGCATGGGCTTTCTTTCCCTGCTTTGAACTCAACAAGCTTACCTACTGATCCAGACTTTAAGAAATTAGCAAAATCTAAAAGACTGACATTTGTATAGCACTTCAAAACTTACGAACAATTTCTCATATGTTTAATTCTAACAATTTAGGAACTGTTGCAACCCTGGAGGAACTAAGTGACAAGCCCAAGTCCACTGACTAATGAACAAAAGAGCTGGGTTCAAATACTCAGGCCAACACCTTCTTCACTCCACAGGGAGGAAGGCAGGAGGTCCTAAAGGTGTGTGAAAACTTGGAGAGATGCAAATGGAGCTTGAAGTCCAGGGTCAGGAGAGCCAGGAGAGGGAAGGTGGCCTAAAGAATAAGCCTTGAGATCTTAAATGCCTGGCCCACTCACAAGAGGGTCAGGGGACCACAGAAGTTAGACAGTCGCTGGACAGGGAACCTGATCCCCAGGGTGAGGCGAGGGCTCCTATATCAGGTCTGAAGGAGGACTAGCCCAGGAGAGCAGGTGCTGGGTCACTTGGGCACCCCTTATGTGTTTGGTTCCTTCCCCCCTGTATCAAGCCCACAGTGGTGGATGCTTCATAATGCAGTCCCACCTGGATTTCCAGGGAACAAAGCATCCTGGGTCTCTCTTGAAGAGGTGGGGTTGTTGAAAGGACATTGTTTGGAAACAGACACTGCAAGGGATGGCTCAGGAACCTGTGCATAGGAACTGAATAGCGAAGCTTCAGACATCGCCGGAGATTCCGTCTTTAAAGCAAGTTCCCTAACTTTCTCTGGAAAGAGCATTCAGTAATACGGGGCTGAGGAGTGGTGAACAATAGGAAGTGGCTTCTAGGCAAGGCACTAGGATTTATTCTCTATTACTGAGGCCATAAGCTTTGTGTTATCCACAAAGACTACTTTTATCCCATTTCTTTCAAGGAAGTACTAAGTTGGAAACCAGATATAGGTACTGAAAAAAAGCACATTTGAGTTAATATTTGGCAGGAGATATCCAGATCTAAAGCAGCTTGCAGAGTGGGGCTCAACAGAGAGGTGTGGATGGTGACTCAAGTTCTTGGGTGTTCTGACCCTCCAGGGGTGGGTCATGAGCTCCTGGCAGCTTCCTCTTTCTCCGCAAACTGGCCATGGGGAAATCCCCCCTGGCCACTATAATAACCCCTGGGCTCTGGCAGAAGCCAGCAGCTCCAGTTAAGGAGAGAAGATGAGTCAGGGCCAACTTTCCCTGCTTCTCTTTCTTTTCCTCCTGAGCCCAGCTACAGGAGGCCTGGGGGATTTGGGTCCCCTGATCCCCAGCCCTACCTCCTTCCTAGGCTTAGATTCCAGCTCCAACTTCAGCTCTGGCTCTGTGGACAGCTCTGATGGCCACATCTCAGCAGGTGGTGCTTCCGTGTCTCAGGTGAGGAGGTCCCATAGTCTAAATTAACCACACTTGTTCCCTTCCTTTAGCTTTTTGGGGACCTGAATACAATTTCATGGATGACTAGACCTGGGCACTCTGAAAGATTTACAACTCCTTTTGTTAACTATCACTACCCTGGAAATGAATTAAAACCTACGTGAAATAATTAAATTGTTAGCAAGAGAGACACCATCTCCGTTCTCTGGGGTGGTGTGTGTGTGCGTGTGGGGGGAATGTAAGCTATAAAGGGCTTTTCAAACCTGCCTACACATTAGAATTGGTGGTGCGGGTGACTCTGAAAGTACAGATGCCTGGTTTCTATCCAGCACATATGTTTAAAACACAGATTTTTTTTTTTTTTAAAAAGCTTTTCCCAGGCGATTCTAATATGAAGTCCAGGATGGGAACTGTTAGGGAAGAGACCATGCTAGTAGGCTCCAATTGATTTGCTGCCCGGCAGGGACTCTGCAGCTCCCCCAAGGAATGAGAGCCACCATGATCTCCAGGTGGAGTCCCGGCAATTTCTCTGTACCTGGTTTGTTAAGGAGCTGAGTGACAGAAGTGACGGAGGAGTTATTGGTCTTTAGGAAAGGGCTACAGGGCATGGACGTTTCCACTGGGGGAGTGTTAATCCTATTCGATCTTCTTTATAGGGAATCTTTAAGGCCATTTCCAGACTCAAACAATAGCAGCAACAAACAAATAAAACAAAACCAAAATCTACACACTGCAAAGGGACTAATCCAGCTAGGCTAGGAGGGGTTTTCGGAAAGTTCATAAGGTGTTTTGCAAAAAAAGATCATGGACAACGAAGATTATATATTTAAAAACTATTCGTGGATTTTTATTTTTTTGCACCAAAATTAACTCATATTTTAATTTCATTTTCCCATGAACTTTTTGAAGTCCCTTTAGATATGGAATGCATAGTGAGCCCGATTCCTTGGGGGATGAATCCTGTTTGGATCTCTTTAAAGAAATGGGACTAGGCCTGATGGGAATGAGAAGCTGAGGGCCCAAAGCAGATACTCACTTCCTCTCTGGGCTATTCTTCAGGAGCCTGCTCTGCAAAACCTCCAGGCTATCCTTGCTAGGGTGTGATTTGGGGTGGGGCAGTCTATTTTTTTTTTTTTTTTTGGAGAAGTTTTTGCTATAGGGTGCGTGTGCTTGCTATAAAGACAGAGAGAGACAGAGACAGAAAGCGAGAAATCACCCCCCAGGGGGGATGGCCATGCCACAATCCCTTCTCCTCCATTCTCCTCTTGGGATCTTGAGCGTACATGCACACACACCCAGCGTGAGTTTAAGCCACCAGGTCTGGGACTCAAACCACAGTTGACTACATGGGAGTCCAGTGACATAGCCATTAAGCCAACTGCTGGTCCCGGAGTGGGGGAGTTTCTGCTGAACTGCTTCTGTATTTCTAGGATTTCTACTCAGAGGTCAGGTTGGTGCTTACAAGAGAATGTCTGAATGGAAGGGTAAATGAGAGAAGGCAAGGAAAGGGCTTTTGTTTGTTATTTTCAACATTTGGAAATATATAGGTAATGAAACTTTGGTAATTAAAAATAGTTTTGATAGTGCCCAGAGAGAAATAACAGCAACAATAGTCACTGTGTGCCTAATAAAAGCCAGAACTAGATTATATACATAGTATATGTTATCTTATCTAACTTTAGGAGGTAGGTAAAATTAATGGTCCTTTTTTTTTCCTTCTTCTTCTTTTTTTAACTTTAGGGTGCATGTCCTCACTGGGGAGAGAGAGATAGACATTGTGAGAGGGAATGCGATAAATCACCCCCAAAGGGGAATGGACACACCTCAATCCCTTCTCCTTCATTCTCTTATTGGGATCTTGGGCATGCATGTACACACGCCTGGCATGATTTTGAAGCCATCAGGTCCAGGACTTGAGCCTCAGTTGGCTATGTGAGAGTCCAGTAACAAAACCACTATGCTATCTTCTGATCCCAATGGTCCCATTTTTGAGATATGGAAACTGAGGCTTACTGAGGTAAGGCCATTGACTTTAAAGTCACTAACTCAGCAAGTCATATAGCTCGAAATTAGTATGCCCGTGCTTTTCTCTATTTCTCTATATTTAGATTTCTATATTTTCAGGGAGTGTAGAAGAAAATTACTTAGTTTTAAGAGAAGGTTTGGGGAATCATGACTGCACAAGGGTTCTTTGTAGCCAGAAATCAGGTATGTAATATCATTACATAACAATAAAATATTTCTCAGATAATTAAAATTAGTTAGCATTTTTTATGAGAGGTTTTTCACTATAGGGCGTGTGCGCTCGCCAGACAGACAGAGAGAGACAGAGAGACAGAAAGCGAGAAATCACCCCCCAGAGGGGATGGCCACACCGCAATCCCTTCTCCTCCATTCTCCTCTTGGGATCTTGGGCACGCACGCACATGCGCCCGGCGTGGGTTTTAAGCCACCGGGTCCAGGACGTGAACCGCGGTCGACTACGTGGGAGTCCAGCGACATAGCCATTACGCTAACTGCTGGTTCCCATTAGTTAGCATTTTTAAAAGTGAGGTAATAATAATATTTTATTAGGAAGCTTCATTACCAATCAGAAATCAGCATTTGAATATGATCATAAGCTAAAATAATAGAAAATATAATATAGGTTAAGAGAGAAATCTAAAATGTCTATTGTCTACTAAAGAGACACATATATAAAAGGAGATAAGAAATGGTAGTTAAATTGCACTTAGAGGTTTTAATTTCCTTCCTGGTTTACTTATCTCCCTCTGATGAGTCAGTATCACACTCCAACCTCTTTTTTTTATAGCGGACCAGGTGTCAGTTCTATTAGAAACCTAATATTCTGGAGCTGGCTGTCAGCTTGATGAGCTCTTTGGAAAGTGGTGGAAAACGTTTTTATAACTGTCATTGAGCAAGTTCCAAACATATCATTTTCTGTACTTTAAAAATGTTGAGTACCATTATTTTATGCCTTGAGTCTTTGTGGGCACTTAGACTTGGCTGCTAATTAGAGCCAATTGCAACCTTAAGTCACAAATGTGAGCTGCACCTTTTCTGTAGTGCTCAGAGCACTCTATAAACCTCAGATGTCAAGCCCCAATGAAGGGGCTGCTACAGGGTCTTTATCACAGAAAAGGACTAGGCTTAATGCTCTGTTCCACATAATGACTGTCATAGTCCGAACCACAATGAGTCATGTGCTTTTGTCATCAGGCTATGGGGCTGGTTAGGAAAAAAACAACAAAACAAAACACTAGGACTTTCATAATGATAGTGGGCCTGATTTCTGGGCAGGAATCAAGGCTTAATCATCTCCCTAGTGCCAATGCTTGGCATATTATAGACATCAGTAAATATTAATTCTACACATGCTGAGTGAGAACCTAGCAGAATTAGGTGACTTGTGGGGTATTCAGGTCCAATTTGCCCTCCACAAGGCCAAGGGGACAAGCACTTGCCTTTGTCTCCCATTCCCCATGTTACACTCATGTGGAGTTTAAGCATTCACCGCAGAGACAGACTCATCACCATTAGCTTCATTGTCTTTGAATGTGAGGAGCAGAAATATCTCTAATGGGAGACACTGATCAAACTTATGGACCATTTTGATGTCAGCTGAGCACACTGGGCTGATGATAAGCAGGATGGAAGATGGGAGTCCACAGCGCTGGGACAGAGATGTTCAATAGAAACTGGCAGAATGGCTGTCAGCAGAGCCCATAATTATTTGCCTGTCTTTCAGGTGAACTTCAGGACTAAAAGTTGTTAGCTGGTGGTTCCTAGTTGATTGTCTAGAAACTGCTTGATGATACCCACTGTTTCTTGAGTTGACAGAGCTCTTCAGAGAACTCTGTCTTGGTCCAACCTTGTCTTGTGCAGCTAATTAATCTCCCCTTGTCAAAACGCAATGCAAGAATTTTTTTTTTTTACTAGATAGTTATTATAATAAGCTGTTTCTTCAAAAGCCCATGATATGTCAGTCCTTCCTGTAAAAACCTTGGCATGCTTCAGCTGGAGTCATTTTTTTTTTTTTTTTGAGAGATTTTTGTTATAGGGTATGTGCACTCGCCAGAAAGACAGACAGAAAGTGAGAAATCATCCCCTGGGGGGATGGCCATGCCACAATCCCTTCTCCTCCATTCTCCTCTTGGGATCTTGGGCATGCATGCACATGCGCCTGGCGTGAGTTTAAGTGACCAGGTCCGGGACTAGAACTGCGGTTGACTACATGGGATTCAGCAATATAGCCATTATGCCAATTGCTGGTTCCCAGCTGGAGCCTTTCTGACTTTAGAGGTTTTGTAAAGCTGATTCCAAGAGAAGCTGGCTTTCAGACAGACTCCTAGTGTACCTTTTCCAGTCCTTACTCATGGCTAGCGAAGACTCTTCCCATCCACTACCATTCCCACTCTGCCCCATGGTCAGCATGAACCTGCTCATTCTGCCTCCTTCCTTCCCAGTTCCTGCAGGTGTGGAAATGTGACTGGAAATAAAAATTGAGGCCAATGTCAAGAATTGACCTGGCACAAAGAGTTTGAGTGCACACACATATATTTTATTTCTGTTCATCTTAAAGAAGCTTAGGTTAAATTAAACAACACCTTAGTTGTACAAGCTTTGTTTGGTCCCAAGGTCACTGATGGAATGGCTCCTGATTATACAAGGCCAGCTTGTGTAGGAGTCATGGAGGTTGGTAGACATGAATTACACAGAGCACACATTTGCAGCTGCAGCCAACTGACCTGAACTTTGAGATGCAGGGACTGAGCCCCTTCAACTCTGAACACCATCGCTCTCTCATTAGTGGTTTCATCAAGAGTCCCTTCAGGCTGGTATTCCACAGGTGAGCTTTGGACTGGCCTTCGGATGAGATCATTAAAAGGCACAGCTGGCTGCCAGGAGTTAACTCTGTAAGGCAATAGTAGTAATAAAAAAATGTTAATTGTGCTGGGATCCCCTTGGGGAAGTTCAAAGGGGACAAAAGAAAAACAGGATCTTTCAAACCTGTCATTTTAAAATATGCAGCGGCACCGAAGTGTGAGCCTGAATATCTTAAAGAAACATCAAATATTTTAAAATGACTTTTCTGCAAATGGTAAGCTGGAAAACTTTTATTTAAAAAATTTGTACAAAACCTTCAAACTCATACACGGTCCAGTTTTTAACGAACGGCTGGTTTTCTTCCATTTTAAAAGATGTTAATGATACAATTTCCCAGGTGAAGAAAAGATTTGAATTTGCTTTGCATATTTTCACTGTAGTCCACATCCTTGCTATCTTTCTCATTCTGATCAAGAGGAATTAGACTGGCATTGGGGTAAAGGTAAGGAAAAGAAAATGAGTAATAGAAGGAAAGAGAAAGTGATATTTACTGATTAACTACCAGGAGCCAAGGATTTGGCTTTCATTACTCAGTTAATCCTTAGAACAACCTGGTGAAGGTGGTTATCCCTGTTTCACAGACGAGAACTGGGACTTGAGGTTTCATAGCTAGTAATTGTTAGACTTGATATTCACACTTAAGACTCTCATCACTTCTTTAATCTCCTTTTTTTCTTTTTATTTATTTATTTATTTATTTATTTATTTATTTATTTATTTATTTAGCGTAGAGGCAGTCATCATTTCTTTAAGACTTTTCAAGAATGGAGAATTGCCCAAGATCCCAAGAGGAGAATGGAGGAGAAGGGATTGTGGTGTGACCATCCCCCCTGGGGGGTGATTTCTTGCTTTCTGTCTCTATGTCTCTCTCTGTCTGTCTGGCGAGCACATGCGCCCTATAGCAAAAAATAAAAAACCTCTCCAAAAAAAAAAAAAAGAATGGAGAATTGGTCCAGTCTAGATGACACAGTCCATAGGTTACTAAGACTGTAGTGCTGGGAATCACATGGCCAAGCTCAAGTATGGATCCTGGGTAGGACTAAAAATACATTGGGCACTCCTGGTGCCCCAGATCCTGAGGCACTGAGGGCTGTGGGAAGGGGATCACAATATGATGCAACCCTGTTGATGGTGTTTTCTCTTTGTCTCTCTCACTTGCTCTCGTACATATACATGTATACACTGACATTTAAAAAAAGAAAAAAGAGTGTAGAGTCTTCTTTTCAGTGAAGGCTGCTGACATAGTAGTTTAGTCCGACAGATGGAGATATGGTTAAATGCAATGTGTACTCACCACCTGTGAAAACATAGCGGTTTTCGCTTATTTCTAGAAGTCATTCATTTATGTATTGGATTCCACTTGCTTGCCTCTACGCATGCTTTTGACAAGCCAATTCCTGTCACTCCAGTTGCCCAAAAGCTCATTTTTCAGCTTAATACTGATTTTTTATTGCTGATTTTATTCAACTTATTTTTATTTACAGTCGTTTTCCAATTTTACCGGCTCCATGGATGACCGAGGAACCTGCCAGTGCTCTGTTTCCCTGCCAGACACCACCTTTCCTGTGGACAGAGTGGAACACCTGGAATTCACAGCTCAACTTCTCTCCAAGAAGTTTGAGAAAGAACTTTCTAAAGTAAGCATTTTCTTTTCAAACAAATATCTTGATGAGGACAAACAAACTGTTTTTAAATTATGGAATTTATAAGCAGTCATTCTTCATTGTGTCAAAGATAGTAGGTTTGTCTCATACAGGTGTTTTAGCAATTGTTTTACAGGATACCTAGAAAGTTCTTTATAACAGAGAAGCTGAGAACACAGAAAGAAATGGGATCAAAATTATTCAAACCATTGATGAACTCAGGGCAGTACTGTGGTACTCAGAGTCAGAAAGAAGCCTTCAGTTCTCACTGAGAACCCCCAACCTATATTTTTGTCTTGTTTTGTTGTTTTCTCCCTCTTGGTATTCTAGATCTTTCCCCCAGTTCTGCTTTCTTCTCTCCCATCCTCTTTTTTATTCTATCCTCCTTATTTTTTTCCTACTTCTGCTTCATTTCTGCTTTTCTTTATTCTTTTCCCTTTGCCTCAATCCTTTCACCTGTCCATTCCTTCTAATCTTTCTTTTATTTTGTTTCTTAATCCCTACCTTTGGAGGGGGAAGCAGTTTTTAGTCTTTTTTTTTTTTTTTTTACTTTTAGATGGTCTCTTTTCCTTACCCTTCTTTCATGTTTTCTTCTCCCCCATTCTTCCAAATCTGCTCCCTCTCCTCCTGCCATCCTTCCTTCTTCTCCTGCTGCCATCCTTCCTTCTTCTCCTCCTCTTTCAAAGGCTTTACAGTTTGCTCTCTCCTTGCTCTTTCCTGGTGGTTGTTTGCTATTGACTCAGCAGAAATATCGTATTTGTTACATCCAGCATTAAACCCAAACTGAAGAATTCCCTGGGAATTTGATCAAGACCAATAGGCCTCTCAGCCTTGGTAAAAACCTGACTCAAACCTCTGATTACCACTTTTTGATTACTAGCTGGAGGAAGTTATCATAAAGGGTTTGCCTTTCTCTGAGCTGGCTAGCACAATGGAACTTGGCATTCGAATTTTTTTTTTTTTTTGAGAGGTTTTTGCTATAGGGTGAGTGCACTCGCCAGAAAAACAGAGAGAGACAGAGAGACCGAAAGTGAGAAATCCCTTCTCCTCCATTCTCCTCTCAGGATCTTGGGCACACATGCACACGTGCCTGGGGTGAGTTTAAGCCACTGGGTGCAGGACTCAAACCATGGTTGACTACATAGGAGTTCAGTGACATGCCATTACTCCATCCTCTGGTCCCAGCACTCTAATTTTGAAGACTTTCACCTTTTTAGCCAAGTTAAAAATCAATTAGAAAATACACAGGTGAAGTCCAAGCTGGACTATAATCCCAGTATACGTTATTTAATGCAGCTTCATTAATTTACCAGAAACTGGGTTTACTGCAAGATGCAAAATAAGTTTTCCTGAGAAATTTAAGCTTAGCCACCTTAACATCCAACATAGTTATCCTTTCAGACAAAAATTATGGTGAGGCTGAGACCCTACTTTCAACCTGAATTGGTAGATAAATATTCTTTATTTAAATGAGTGTCCAGGAAAATGTGTTTGACTACTCGAGGAACCTAGCTTCTTAAGAAATAAAATGTCCTTGAATTAATCAGCAGAAAAGGCACAGCACTAAATTATAAATTCCAACCATTAATATTCATAGCCTTATTCCAGCATAATCAAGTACAGATAAGAAGTTATGCATAAAAACATAACAAGTAGAGGAAAATCCTAGGTAAAGATCTTTTCAGTTAGAATCATTTGCTTTGAAATAGTGGAAGCTACTGATTTGCATGTTGTCTTTGCTGGCAGGAGTGTGAAGGGCAGTTTGAAACCTCTTGCTGGTCTAAGGGAGAGTGTGTGACTTACTAGGTTATGAATATGGGACATTCAGTTCTGGAAAAGGGGAGGTGGCATCTGCTTTGCCAATAATTGGCAGGGAAGGAGTAACTGAGAAAACTTTATTTCTGAATGTAGTAGTAGCTGGTCCTCAAAAACACTGTGATTGAGGCTTCAGAAAGGAATGTACCTGCCAGCTGGAATTTGCATCAACAACTTGGTGTGACAGGTGACAATAACAACGATGAGATGATAGTTAGCCACTTCTGTCTGTGCTTTTCCAAGGGCTTCCAGTTCTCTTCTCTTCTCAACCAACTCCTTAAAGCACACAAGGCATGTGTTCCCACTCCCATTTTAGGAATGGAAAAATGTAGGTTCAGAAAGGGAAAGGGACTTGCTCACGGTCATTCTCTTGGCTGGGTAAGCAGGTCAGGAATTGGGGTCTTCGGAATCATCCCAACTCTCTTTCCCCTTGGCCATGCTGTTATCATCCTCCAGTGCAGAGCCAAGGAGGGCTGCAGTAGGTCAGTGATACCTTCAAATTCAAAGTTATCTCTTTAGCTGAGGGCTTTTGAATTTCCAGGTGAATTATTACAGCTGTCCCTAGGTTGCCTTGGAAATCACCATTTATCTAGGGGCCTGGGGAATGCCCATTTTGAACAGACCAGTAGAAATTGTTTCTGACTGCCTTACATTGATTCATTGTCTGCCAGTACACAGAGAAGATGGGGAGCTGCCTCTGCATAAAATGCTGAAAGCATTTGATACTTTTCTGTTGTTTACGAGATGTCCTCTTGTGACTAAGGAAGAGGATAGTGCAAAAGGCAGCTTAGGATTTTCTCTTTTTCTGGAGGCTTATGGTCTTTGGGGCAAGTTATTTAATATGACACATTTGCTAATAGATCCTCATGCATGAGAAGGTTGAGGCAGCCTGGGAGACATTTAGGCAACCCATAAACAAACAACATTGATTGAGCAATGCTTTGTGCAGTGAAATATAATAAATTAAAAGGTCAGATTGAAAAACACAGACATCCCTGTTTCTCTATTAAATTTTGTAATTTATAGGCCCTCTATTTGCTAGGCACTTAATGTATATTATCTATAATCTTTACAAAAATCTTGTAAACTCAATATCATTACTCCTAATTTATAGGAAGCTAAGGGTTAGAGAAATTAAGTGATTTGCCCTCTAAGAACTGAAATAAGATTTGAACCCATGTAGGTCTAGCTCAAAAATGCTTTATATACCTTATTGTTACTTCAGGTTCAATGAACCCTGCTAGATTTATTTCTAAAAATATATTGAAAATAACAGTAGGTTGCAAGTTAATTTACTTATTTCAAATAATCTGGCCACAGTTATGACCACAGATTTTAAGGACTGACAGAAATACGAACCAGATTAATTCCTGAGACAATAGCAGATGTACTATATCCTTACTTATTATAGGACATTTATTATAAGGAAACGTAACAATCTCCCAAAACAAACCCCCAAACAAACTTTTATTTTTTATCAACGATTTAGAAAGTGTATAATAAACAAAATAAAATGGTAAATCTGAATGTTATATCAGTGATTTAAAGTCAAACATAGGTAAGTCTTCTGATGTGCAAACTTGTAGTGATGAGGACCTTCAAGCTAAAGATGTCTGTTCAGAGATACAACCCTTGGGACTAGACCCATATTCTTGCTGGAGTGTTTAGCAGTGTTCCTGCCTCTAAATGCCAGTAACACCTACCCACTTCTTAGTTGTGATAACCGAAAATGTCTCCAGACTTTGCTGAATGCTCCCTGGGGACAAAATTACTACCATCACCACCTTCCCTCAATTTAGAACGACTGCTCTAAATGTTAAGTATTTTCCAGAAGAGGGAAAAATGCACTAAAAGCACAAAATGATGGGGAAGTGGGGGTAGACACCGCTCCAGGGAGCTGGGCTGCCTATACTGAGACTGTACCTTGCAGGAAGAGCTGGACTGTTCTTAGAATTGTCCATGCTCTCTCAACACTACAGATCCACATACATGAAAGGCTTATACTAATAATTTGCTTTAATTAGTAAAATTCACACTATGAGGTCTTTCTGGTCCATTCTCAAATTCTCTTTTACCTTTTGTGACTTCATGGGTGATCTCAGTTTACCTGCACACCACTGAGCTTTCCTTTAAATGTCAGCTAAAAGAACAGTCTATTTTTTTCCCCAAAAAATAGACCTTTAGAGACCTTTTGTTTTGTGACTGAAGTAGAGTAGTCACACCACATATTCTTACAGGTGGCAAACTCCTGGCTTCGCTTTGGTTTTCTCTGAGAATCTGGGAGAGCCACGTTTTATTTAGCAGAGATGACAGTTGAATCATTCATTTTTGTAAGAACAACAGCTGCGATGTGCCACCAAAATGTTCCAGAAAAGCTGAGGGTGTTTCATTTGTTCCAAGAGTTGGCAAGGCCAAATGCTAACAAGCATGTTCATATCTCAAACTTGCATTTCTTCAGTAAATTACCACTTTATTTATTTTTTATCATAGGCAAGATTTTATGCTCAATGTTTTAGAGATATTGAAACCTGGCCACCTTATGTCTGTGTGTGTACTTTTGAGGAAGACTTGTTTTATATATCTATAGCTATAGCTATACATACATACATACATACATACATACACATACACATTATAGATACAGATATCGCTATAGCTATAGACATATAAAACACTCTAGATATAGCTATAGCGATATCTGTATCTATAACATGTGTGTATATGTATGTATGTATGTATATGCATAGTATTAATCTCTGTATCCACCAAAATGTCACCAACCTTATCAACCTCCAAGTGACGGTACATCTGATGGCACTATCAGTTGCCCGAGGAGATACACTAGCAGTGCCAAGGGCTGCATTTTCAACTTTCATTAAAATCCTCTTTGCCTGAAGCCCTAGCCTTTTTAGGTCTGTGGCCTATGAGTCTACTGTAATTTGCACAGTGGGGTTAAGTAGGAGGGCTAAAATGACAGAAGTTAGGGCTGCCTTTGGTATTAGGAAGATTAAAGGCCAACATCTGGCTTTGAATTTATCCAGGCACTGTGGAATCAGCTACTTGACATTAGTGCAGTTTGGGGGAAAGTATCAGTTATGCTCATATGTGTAAAAAGAAGGTAAAACCACTAACTTTTAATGAGCAGATCCTTAAAAAAGCAATGGCATTTCTTTTAGAGATCAGATACAGAAAGAACCACCAACTGTGTTTATTGAAATATCCATTTGGAGATTCCAATTATATACTAAACCACCCAGGGAATTTTTGGAAGTATTTTAACTTAATGATCAGACATTCAAATGTATGCAACAAATGTGTAATTTAAAGGTCTGATTGCAATAATCAGTTCTTGGAATAAATGTCGGCGCACTTAATGAAATGTGCACTTTACAGTCGCATATACACTCACACATTGTATATTAAGTTGGATCTTTATGCTACTTTGTAAAAGACAGAGGGGCGCGAAAGTCATCGCATTAATGATCAAAGGAGGAATTCTAGGACTGCCCTTTGCCTAGTGATTAAGGGAGCCAGAATCCACATGACTGACCTTGGTTTGACTTCTAGTCCTGGTAGCATGAAACTCATACATGACACTTGTGTGTGTGTGCCCCAAATCCAGAAGGGGTGGAGAAATGAAGAAGAAATTGCAGCATGACCACTTCTCATTGGCAGGTGGTTTCTCCCTCTCTTTCTGTCTCTCTTTGGTGAGTGCACACACCTTCTGTCAATTAAAAAAATATATATATTTTTTGTATATTTGCCCCTTCTCTACAAAATGGTTCTAAATAACCACACTCTTGTGGGTGGGTGGTGGTTGTGATTTTAGTACTGAAGGAACACTTCACAATGTCTGGTGACACTTTGGTTGTCACAACTGGGAAGATGGGTGAATGCTACTGGCATCTAAAGGTCAGCAATACTGCTGAACACCCTATAATAGATAATATAGCCCCCCCCCAAAAAAGAATGATTCAATCCCAAATACCAGTAATACTGAGGCTGAAACCTTGTTTTAGAGTACATGCATTGAGGAAAAGAGGGTTGGCAAGAATCTCTGATTCAGACCAGGTTAGTTTGCGTGGGGCGGGGGAGGTGGTTAATGTCTTCCAACAGTAAAATGATGATTCAAATATACAACTTATTTTTAGTCATGTAAGTGAAAAATCCACCCCCACTCCCCAAAACATAGTAATAAGTTCTTTTAAGTTTGTGTTTGGATAGATTTTAAAAAGCTGTTTAAATATATATATTTTTTTTTTTGAGAGTTTTTTTTTTCGCTATAGGGCATGTGCGCTCGCTAGACAGACAGAGAGAGACATAGAGACAGAAAGCGAGAAATCACCCCCCAGGGGGGATGGTCACACCGCAATCCCTTCTCCTCCATTCTCCTCTCGGGATCTTGGGCACGCACGCACACGCACCTGGCGTGAGTTTTAAGCCACCGGGTCCGGGACGCGAACCGTGGTTGACTACATGGGAGTCCAGCGACATAGCCATTACACTAACTGCTGGTTCCCAAAAGCTGTTTAAATATATTTTTGATCAATTTTTGTACAAAAACAATGATTAGCAGGGATCAAATAGTCCTCAAGGGCTTGGTAGTGGAGAATTGTGTAACATTACTCTGGGGTTTGATTAGAGCTTTTTGATTCTTATTCAGGTGCAGGAATATGTCCAATTAATCAGTGTGTATGAAAAGAAACTCTCAAACCTAACTGTCCGAGTAGAGATCATGGAAAAGGATACCATTTCTTACACCGAACTGGACTTTGAGCTGATCAAGATAGAAGTGAAAGAGATGGAGAAACTGGTCATACAGCTGAAGGAGAGTTTTGTTGGAAGCACAGAGATTGTCGACCAACTGGAGGTGGAGGTAAGAACTGGCTTCTCAGTATGGAAGAGCCAGTAAGCAAGTGCTAGGACTAAGATATGAATCTCACTTCCAACTCTAATTCTATGCTCTCTCATGACAACAGGCATATCTCATGCTCTGTTTTGGATGGACACCTGACCTTAGCTAATAAGATAAGCACATTGGGAACATGTTGCCTGAGGGACAGGTAGCAAGTGTCATCTAATGGTCAGAGTCCTGTACTGGCCTTTCAACTTCTCTGACAAGGAGGTACCATAAATTTGAACAGTTGTTAATGGCCAATCAGGTCAGGTATTGCCTCTACTCTGAATTCATCGTCATGGCACTAAAAATTCACAGTTTACCTGATTGTAAACTTGTTAGATCTGTTTCTCCTCCTGAATGACCATTGAATCCTTAACCTCTCTTGAATCCTTGTTCATGTACTGGCAGCCTCCCGTAAGAAATGTCTAGTGATTATGCTCCAGTGAAGGCTTTTCAGATCTGTGGACAATGACCATCACATTAATGTTGTGGTTGGGTAATTTATATCGATGAGAATTTAGTAGCACAGCCATGACATGGGCTATAATTGAGAATCCTAGTTACATATTTTAGGATTTAAGTTTTCTCTGGCCCTCAACATTCATTAGAAACTTAATTATAATACAACATGAGTAAACACGAGTTTATAGGGGAAGGCTATTAGAAATGAACTTTAATGGACATTTGTGGATGCTTAGAATGAGCCTGTGCTCTATTATTAAGGCTGTTAAAATCTTTGCCATTTTCGTCTTGTCACACACATCTGCCTGAGATCTGACAGGCGTTCACGCTAAACCATAAAATGTATTCTTCCAAATGAAACCATTCAGGAAAGTCTCTGGTGTATTCTCTAGCAATGTTTCACTAAATGACAAATTCAGCCCTGGAATGTTTATGAAAGAAATTGCACAATAACATAAAGTCACTCTGAATTTTTATTTCCTTAGATAAGGAATATGACTCTCTTGGTAGAGAAGCTCGAGACACTAGACAAAAACAACGTCCTTGCCATTCGTCGGGAAATTGTGGCTCTGAAGAACAAGCTTAAGAAATGTGAGGCCTCTAAAGGTGAACACGTTCCTGTCGGCCCCCCTCCTCCCTCTCCAGGTAAGCAACAGGAGTTTCCACCATTGAGCCATGTCTCTTGAGTAGCTGTGAGTTGGGTGGGAAAGGGGTTTGAGATGGCAATAGTAAAGAAAGGATGGGATTTCTGTTTTTCTGAGTTTACTCCTTTTATGCTTTTTATCACCTCCCTTCTAAGCAGTTCTATGTACTGACATATTCTGGAGCTCACAGAGGAAGAACACAAACCACAAGCTGATTTAAAACAAAATCCACAAGTTACATGTATTCTTTTTGCATTTGCTAGCAGGAAGAACATCTCTATGGTGATAGAGGAGTTGATTTAAAACAGAAATCCACAAATTACATGTATTCTTTTTGCATTTGCTAGCAGGAAAAACATCTCTATGGTGATGGGCAGCTCTCAGGGGTTCCATGGGAAAGAAAAATCTCTAGAGTCTAAGTGTGGCATTCACTTCCCTGTGGATTGTAGGGGTCGAGTGCCTTATTTATCTGATGAGCTGGGTTTATGTCTTGAATCCTATTGCCCTTTATCTCTCCTTTCCTCTCTCTTCTGTCTCTTTAATTTTTCCTTTCTTGTTCCTTTAAATGCATGTTGAGCATCTGTTACTTGTGAGCCTTGAGATCAGTGAGATTAAAGGGCTGGCCTTGTAGATCATGGCACTTGGGGGTGTGTCACCACCCCTCCTAGGTTATAAGTTCGTTGATATCAGAGATGGATCTCAGTTTCTAATGAATCATCCTTGGGTTAAAGTACAGCATAGAGGTGGGTACTCTGTCAGTATTAGGTCATCGGGAAAGTCATGATGCAATTTTGCATAGAAAATTACATCATGACTTTCCCGATGACCCAGTACATCCATGAATGGAGGCAGTGGAGTATAGGACTCCAGAACATAGGTTTGAAATCTGAAAGACCCGAATTCTCCAGCTATGGGTCTGGAGAATTATAAACTCCTTATTTGTAAAATAGAAGATTACAAGGAGTCTTCAAAAAGTTTGTGGAAAATGGCTATAATGAAAAACTACATGGATTTTAATTTTTTTTTTTTTGCCCTCAAATAAACTCATACTTTACTTTCATTTTCCCATAAACTGTTTAAGTCCTTTCAATGTACATATTTTACATAGTTGCTGTAGGGACAAATAAAGCAATACTAGGGAGGTCAGAGTTCTGTGATCAGCACTTGTAGTCTGGCCCTGGGTACTATTAGTAATGACGATCATTAGAGTAGAAACCTTGCTGTGAACAACGCCATGTTAAATGCTTGTGTGTTGAAGTGCATCTGTCGGGGAGAACTAAAGGCAGCCTTTCAGCCACCATATTCATCCCTATTCTTTTTTTTTTTTTTTGGAGAGATTTTCACTGTAGGGCGCGTGTGCTCGCCAGACAGACAGAGAGAGACATAGAGACAGAAAGTGAGAAATCATCCCCCAGGGGGGATGGTCACGCCGCAATCCCTTCTCCTCCATTCTCCTCTCGGGATCTTGGGCACGCACGCACACACGCCCGGCGTGAGTTTTAAGCCACCGGGTCCAAGACGTGAACCGTGGTCGACTACGTGGGAGTCCAGCGACATAGCCATTACGCTAACTGCTGGTTCCCTCATCCCTATTCTTTAGACACATTGTTGTCACAGGGACTTCTCTCTTTAGGTTGTAAGCATTTCAGCATGAATGGGAACCGTATCTTTTCATCACACACTATAGCTTTTATCTTATTTCTTCATTGCTTTTAATTGCCAGAGGGTAGATGTACTCATGAGGGAGAGACGGAGACAGAGGCAGAGAGACAGAGAAAGAGAGAAAACACCCACCAATGGCTTGTAACCATACTACAATCCATTTTCCTCCATTTCTCCATCCTGTCAGGACTTTGGGCAGGCATACACATGCACTCAATGTGTTTTTCAAGGCTCTGGGACCAGGACTCGAAATGCATTCAGTCATATGTGCTCCAGCTCCCTTTAACAGGGACTAACTGCTACACAGTGATGTCAGCACAGCCTTTGTTATTTTTCTTAATTGCAATCTTTGCAACCTGTTTCCTTTTAGACCAATGCATTTCTAGACCCCTGTTCATGTAGAACTTCAATTAGGTAGAACTATAGGTATAAGTGTCTTGTTCTTGTTTAGGGGAATCTTTCCTCCCTCTATGGAAATCTGTCCTAGTATAACATACAGAGAGGTTTAGGACAAAGACCATGGTCTGTCTTTTGTGACAAAGGCTGAATTTTGTTTGGGATCAGTGTGTGAACGTGCGCTGGAAAGGAGAGTGGGTTCTGCTGGACCATGGAGGCTTCATCAGATAGGGGTTGGAACAATGACATCCTAATGATTTTCTGAGCAAGTGTCCTTCCTCCTCTCTAGCAAGCCTTTCTCATGGGATAGATTGTTTTTCTGGCACAATGCTTATGCATCCCTCAGAATGAGGACATTTTAGAGCAGGAAGGAACACTCAGGACCATCTAACTTAAGTCTCATAGAGAAAGGGACTTGGGTAGTGAAGATGCTGTCGACTCTAAGGCCATGCAGGTAGTTAATGACAGAGCAAAGGCTGAAATGCAAAGGTCTTCACTCCCTGGTCATCCCAGGACCTAGCGTGTCAGTCCTCAATAACACAAGGGTGATGGTGCTGGAGAGAATTCATTGCTTATTACCAAGGGAGAAAAACCAATGAATCTGTTGGATTACTTTTTTCCAGTATTTTTCCCTCAAGAACTTTCCCCTAGACCCTCACACTTAGATATTGTGCACCATCCCAGACCAGCTGTGCTGTTTGAGCAAATTGGACCCAGATTCCCACTCACTTTCCCGCAACCTTGGCTCTACCTGAATCGCTGCCAAGCCACTTGGCCCTGCTCCAGCTTTGTTCATATTATATTTATGATGTTTATATTAAACTGACTTTTTGTCATGTTTTTAAATCAATTTCTTTCACTGCTCTCTTTCTGTTTGGATTGGTTGATAATGCAGAATTGGAAAATCCCCAGGCACCACAAAGCTGTGAGCCTGTGGAGACTTTAATTAAAGTTTCTCACTATTATGGGACTTTAAAATCTGGCCTGTCTGCTTTTTCCACAAGTCTCAGCTATAAAGTAATTCTATGCTCTGGGCCCCTCCCTTGCATCTGTAGTTTGTAAACCCTGTGGTCAGCTTGAACTTAAAACTATTAGGTTGTCGGGAAAGTCAGGATGTAGTCTTCTATGTTTTTTCTATGCAAAAATTACTCATGGCTTTCCTTCCCAATGACCCAATATTACGGGGATTTGGGGTTCAATAAAATATACCTTCTATTTTTTTTTGTTTGTTTTTGCAGCAAATAATATCCCTTTCTGCTTCATTTTACAGAACTTTCTAATCTAAAATAATTGGTCTTCTACTCGTTAGCTTTTTCCTTGATACAAGGGACTCCAGCCACTCTCTGTTTGCTCTGAATCAAAACGACTGCATATGGGCAAAATGTGATGGGAATACTCAGGAGTTGATACCACTTGCTTGAGGATGCTAGGCTCTATGCTGTTTCATAGTAGGTGTGGAGCGAATGGTTAGTGGAGTGTAAAAGACATGGGTCAGGACCAGCAGTTGATGTCATTGCTATGTCACTGGACTCCCATGTAGTTGACCGCAGTTCGAGTCTTGGACCCGCTGACTCATGCCAGTTTTAAGTGTGTGCATGCCCAAGATCCTAAGAAGAGAATGGAAGAGAAGGGATTGTGGCATGGCTATCCCCCCTCCCCCGGGGGATCATTTCTCACTTTCTATCTCTCTGTTTCTCTCTGTCTTTCTGGTGAGCACCTGCACTCTATAGCAAAAAACCTCTCTTAAAAAACAAAAAAAAAGAGAGACATAGGTGACCTGACCTACTAAAATCTCAAGCTTAGAGAAGAGCTGAGTAGCATATATCCAATAATTCAGAGTCAATTTAGTCTTAATCATTTTATGATTATGATCATTTTAATGCCTAAGTCTTACAAGTCAATCATATTCTCCTCTTGGCTCAAAGTTCAGTTGCCCATGTGAGAGAGTACATGGATTGAGCCAAAATTAAGTTTTCTCTGTAGACATATAATTTTTGGCTTAAAAAAAAATACTCTACTATGATCATTTTAAAAAGCCAAATGGGGCCAGCAGTTAGCGTAATGGCTATGTCACTGGACTCCCATGTAGTCGACCATGGTTTATGTCCTGAACCCAGTGACTTAAAACTCACGCTGGGTGCATGTGCGTGCATGCCCGAGATCCTGAGAGGAGAATGGAGGAGAAGGGATTGTGGTGTGGCCATCCCCCCGGGGGGTGATTTCTCACCTTCTGTCTTTCTGTCTCTGTCTGTCTATCTGGTGAGCACTCGCATCCTATAGCAAAAACCTCTCCAAAAACAAACAAACAAACAAACAAACAAAAAACAAACAAAAAAACAAACAAAGAAAAACAAAAAAGCCAAGTTAAGGGCCAGCTAGGTGCTGTAGTAGTAGAGCCCACATGGCTGACTGCATGGTTTGAGTCCTGGACCTGGTGACTTGAAAACCACACTGAGCATGTGTGTATGTGTGCCCAAAATCCTCCAAGGAGAATGAAAGGGAAGGGATTGCAGTATAGTCATCCCCCCTTGGGGGTGGATTGCAAGTGCTTTCTCTCTCTCTCTTTCTCTCTCATCTCTGATAAATGTGTGTGTCTTATTGCAAACTAAAAACAAACCAAAAAAGAGCCAACTTAGAATATTTTAGTGTCATGATTATGGCTTCCCTAGATGTAATCAGAATACCGTGTCCATATTAATGAAATGCACAACGAAGTTTGCCAACCAAGGCTGTAGTTGTGCAGTGCGTTCCTTGCATTATGCTCTGTGGAGTAAACACCAGGATCTTTGAAAAATAATTCCTGGATTAAACTTTGTCTTGCTGTTATTACTCTTTAAAAAAGAAAGGAAAGGAAAAAAAAACAGATAAGTAGCAGGGTAGAGGTATAGCAATGTTTCATAAATAATGGTAAGCTAGGTTTAGTGATTTGTTTAGCCTTTCATTCCTTTATTCCACAAACATAATTTGGAGGGACTGTGTGGTTGACAATGTTCTGGGACTGGTGTTACCAGTATGGGTACAGAAACCTCCTGAAACCACTGTTTGTGAAGAAAGACTGTCATGTAATCCTCCAATTATAACACAATGTGATTGTAATGATGACAGTTACTATTTATTGAGTTACATTTACATACATTCTTTCTTTTCTTTCTAATCGTCCTGCAGAGTAGTTATTATTATTTTTCTTTTAACATGACGAAACTGAGGCTCATAAGGTTAATCACATTGTCAAGGATACACAGCTAATAAGTATTAGAGTGAGGATTTGAACTTGAACTTGCCTGGTAATACTTTCACCTGACCAGGGTGCCTTGCATAGATATTCTAACAGAGAAGTACACCATGATTCCTAGAGTAACAAGCAAATTCCAACGACTCACCTACCTGATATTTAGAGTACAAGGGGTAGGGGACAGTGATACTGATGAGGCAGTGGGCACCAAGCTGAATGTCAGTTTCAATATTGTTTCCAAGACATTTTACTGCTGGGAGTTAGGAAGTCTGCCATAGCCGGTGGCTGTGGTATATGGACATTGGTCTGTCACTGTCCTGGTCACATTTATAGCACTCGCAACAAGATTTAGTTCTTATCCCTATTTCCACTTCTTCGTATTTTTAATTTTTATTTCTTTCTTCCATGAGCAAGAGAGACATAAAGAAAGAGACTGAGAGAAGGGAGAGTGAGAGAGTGAAACAGCAACTCTGATGGTGTCATAACACCACAGTCCACTCGAGACCCAGACAGCTGCATATTAAGGACATGTACACACCCAATACATTCAGGGAGGTCTCTGGATGTGAACCTGGAACCCTCCCATGTGGGTCAGCCTCACGAGCCCTGCATTATTTCTCTACCACTGTCCAACTCTTCTTCCACTTCCTTTTGACCATAGCCAGGATCTGAAAAGTTGCCCAAAGGAGATAGAGAACATAGAGAGATAACAAAATGGGTAAGCATGGGGAAAAAAATGAGAAACTACGTGAGATAATGGATATGTTCATATGTTCCATAATAGTAACCATTTTGCTACATATATATGTATCATATAACATCATTACTTTAAGTATGCACAACTAAATTTATTTTAAAAACTCAGAATATACAGGGGAGTGTTTACAAATGGTTGGAACATGAGGAAAAGTCTTTGAGTTTCAAGTCCAGCTAAAGCGGTGCAGGTGGTAGGGCACCGCTGCACGATGCTAGAGTTATATAGGAGGCCTTGGGTTTAGATTCTGGATTAAGCTGAACATACTGAGCTCAACTGCAGGCCTGTGGTCCTGGCTGGGGGGGCATATGGGAGGACCAAAGTGTGGTGAGCCCTTGTCAAGGGTACCTCTCTTTATCACCCTCTTATAAAAGAAAGAAAAAATAAATTAAAAACGTATGAATTTCATATCATTTTAATGTATATGTTGAGTAAAATTATAATTTTGTGGTCAACTTGTGAAATTGTAAACCATTATTAGTAGTGTAGTAATGGCAGTAGTAGTATTAATACTATTACTATAACTAGTAATACTATTATACTACTACTAATATTATTAATATAATGGTAGTAGTAGTAACAGTAATTTTTGTGAAATTATTTTTGTTCCTTCATGTCTGAAGAGTTTCACATCTGGGTAGAGTCATTTATTATCTTTAGACCCATGTTAATGCTTGAATAAGTTCTACGCATCATAAATTTTCCTTAAATGTTTTGTTGCAGTTGGTTTGGGATATTTCCTTTCCAAGAAGGCAAGATTCAATGAAGCAAACAATTCTTCTAACCTATAACAAAAAAAGAAACTTTCTTTATTTCCTCAGAGTGAAATGCAGTTGAATAAATAAGTTCTCAGGAAGATACTTTAACCAGAAAATCCAGTTTGTAGCATATGGAAACTTGAACAGTTTTTGTTATCATTAAACTGAACACACCGCTAACTTTATTTTAATAATTCATGCATTGTTTCATAAACAAAAGCAAACAAGCATTCATCTGAGAGATCACTTTTAGGAGAAGAAATAATAATTTATAATTTTATTTATTATTTCTTTAGTGGAGAGCAGTCTCTTGGCTGAACACACGTTGCTTTTTTATTTATGAAATGGCGCATGCATTATTAAAATAAACCCGCGACTGTGTTCTGCTTAATGATATGCAAAATTATTTGAGGTTGGGTACAGAGTGGTTTCATTTCTCTACCTGTTGTATGGTTGGCTGGCTTTCCCACCAACTGCGGATTTATGAAAGCATTTAAGGAGCACGTATTTAATTCTGGGACCAAAAAGCCCCAGCAGATTGGAAAAATAAAAGCAGGATTTCTAGTAATGGTTTTACCTCTGAGCACTCCTTGAGTGAGAAGGTAGAGGGGAAGCCTGTAGCAGGAAAAGAAATGGGTCTTTCCATATCAGACAGAGGCAGAGATTCAGAGACTCAGAGACAGAAGCGTTGCTCCCCCTGCAGTGCCAATCTCAGGCAATTCGTTGGAGCTCTGCTTACTTCTTGTGCTCCCTGGATCTATGGCTCTGTGGTTCCATGGCTCCATGGCCTCCTGACTCCTTTAAGCATTGAAAGCTAGACCCAGTGATTCAGGTTCTACTCCTTCCTTTCTTCACCTACTTTGCTCTGGGTAGCAGGACAAGGAAAAATGACCTCAAATGTACTTGAAGTTGGATTTTCTTCGTTATCTTATAAACCTTATAAACTAACTCACTACTTTTTTTTTTTTAAGAGAGTATTTATTAAGATCCTAGAAAATGTGTGTTCAACTCATTGGATAGTTATTATAGAAAATACTGGAGAAATTTTATTTTATTTTTTTATAGCTTGTAAATGCTTTGGGTTGGCAGGCATTTCAGAGGGAGAGCAATGTGAAGGGCCAGCCTGTGAATTGCCTAGCCTGAGTCATTACCCAAGTGTTACAGGGAATGTAGACTCAGTGAACCAGTGAATCTGGTCCCACTTGATTGTACACATTGTCGCAATGATGGTGTCAGAATGGGAAGGATGAAATACTTCCCTGTCATTCTAAGGCACAGTATAGTGTATGGGTTGTCAACAGCAGAACTCACCTCAGAACTCTGTAGCAAGATGGTCTCCAAGTAATGAAATCCTGCCACTGTGGGACCTTCTTTCTGGATCTATACCATACTATATTTAAAATTTCCTTTTTTAAGATTAGCTTGGATCAAGTTTGGTACATAGCCTGAATAGACACTCAAGTCCCAGGGAAGGACAGAGGCTAAAAGGTATGGAGACCCGTTCAGGATAATTTCTTCCTCCACAATCCTCTCGGGCCGCCCCTAGTGAATAGCATCTTCTGGATTTATAGAATAGGATAGAATTTTGGGATGCTCTTGCTTTCTTGGTTTCTCTTTGAGAAAAATAAAATAACAGTGCAAAGTGCTTTCTGATAGAAGAAAGTTTCCTCTCTTTAAGTCCTCAATCCTTTTAAATATACTTCTTAGCAATTTCATTCTTTTTTTTTTTCCTATAAGGCATGTGTGCCAGCAAGAGTGAAAGAGAATAGTGAGAAATCACCCTCAGTGGGGATGGCCATGCCATAGTCCCTTTTCCTACATTCCCCTTCTTGGGAGTTTAGACATGCATACTTATGTGCCTGGTGCATTTTTCAAGTCATCAGGTTCAGGATTTAAACTACGTGGTCAACAATGTGGGATCCAGCAGCCCCAACCACCATGTCACCATCTGGTCCTTGGCAATTGTATTATCCACATTTTTCAGCTTGAAAACCTATCCATGGAAACAGAGGGTAACAACGAATTACCCTTTAGAATACCTTCTAGAGCTAACAACAAGTTTGCTTTAAGACTGAAACCAAGAGGAGATTTTTGTCTCTTCTCCATCAGAACTACTATTGTCATCAGACCTTGAAAGGAAAAATATTTATGGATATTTTTGGTCTTAAGATATGAAATTAGGGGCCAGCAGGTGGCATGGTGGTTGAGGCACTGGACTCTCACATGGCCGACTGCAGTTTGAGTCCCAGATCTGGCAGCTTGAAACTCACGTTGGGCATATGTGCATGCATACCCAAAATTCTGAGAAGAGAATGGAGGAGAAGGGATTATAGTGTGGCCATTCCCTCTGAGGGATGATTTCTCTCTCTTTTTTTTTTTTTTCTATCTCTCTAGCAAGCACACATACCCTAGAGCAAAAAAACTCTCTCTCTAAAAAAAATGATATGATATATTGTCATTCATTTTCTCTAAGAATGTCTTGTTATTTTCTCATTTGTATAGGGTCCTGTGGTCATGGTGGTGTGGTGAACATCAGCAAGCCATCTGTGGTTCAGCTCAACTGGAGGGGATTTTCCTATAAATATGGTGCCTGGGGCCGAGATTACTCTCCCCAGCATCCAGAAAATGGGCTGTATTGGGTGGCACCATTGAATACAGATGGGAGACTGTTGGAATATTACAGACTCTACAACACATTGGATGACTTGTTATTGTACATAAATGCTCGAGAATATCGAATTACATATGGCCAAGGTAGTGGTACAACAGTTTACAAAAACAATATGTATGTCAACTGGTACAATACCCGGAACATTGCCAAAGTTGACCTGACCACCAACAAAGTTGTTGTAACTCAGACTCTCCCTAATGCGGCCTATAATAACCGTTTTTCATATGCTAATGTTTTTTGGCAAGATATTGACTTGGCTGTGGATGAGACTGGATTTTGGGCGGTTTATTCCACTGAAGCTAGCACTGGTAACATAGTGATTAGTAAACTCAATGATACCACACTTCAGGTGCTGAACACTTGGTATACCAAGCAGTATAAACCATCTGTTTCTAATGCCTTCATGGTATGTGGAGTTCTGTATGCTACCCGTACTCTGAACACCAGAACAGAAGAGATATTTTATTACTATGACACAAATACAGGGAAAGAGGGAAACCTTGACATTGTAATGCATAAGATGCAGGAAAACTTGCAGAGCATTAATTATCATCCTTTTGACCAGAAACTTTATGTCTATAATGATGGTTATCTTCTGAATTATGATCTTGTCTTCCAGCAGAAATCCCAGAAAGCTGATTAGGTATTATGGTGGGAAATAAATAAAAGGTTAAAAAAGGAGTCTTTTCCACTCATTTAGAAATCTGTAGGGGATCTAGAAATGTGTTTATTTAGTAGTAATATTTAGGTGCATAATTCTATCACACTAGAGACCTATGTTATTTGTCCTGATTTGTTGAGTTCTCTTGGGAGCCACTTGCCTCCTAGGATACACTTCCCAACTGAAATAAGGTCCTTCTGAAGTAGAATTGTCAGAGTTCTACAGAAGCCTACAATGAGGTATCATTTGGAAATTAAGGAACTTGAAGAAAATTTGGTATGGCTTTTGGGGATTCTTTGAATGGAAGAAGTTTCTCAGTGACCAGTCCTGGTCCATGTAGGCCTGCTAATTCTTTCACACCTGAAAGGAACTTGGGGCTTAATTAGGCAGATTAATATCTGAAGTTCCTTGAGGGACTAAATCTCCAACTTTGTTTTTCCTACTAGCACTTGGAATGATGTTTTGTATGTCACAGATAAGAAAATTTGGCATGCTTATATCTGTAAAGTGCTCTGAGTTTTCTAGAAAGAGGCCCTTTTATGCATTAAATTATACCCTGCAAATAAATCCCAAAAAGATCTGCTGATGAGGCACTTGATTTTTCTTTTTTTTTTTCCCCATTGTCCATTTACATAAGAGTCAATAGAACACTCTACCTCATAACTTCATTCCAAAGGCAGCTCAGAAGGTCAAAACCAGACTTACCAACCAATTCACAGCAACCCCTCTTTACTGCTGGCTTTAAAACAATAACAATAAACAAATGAATAAACAACAACAACAACAACAAACCAGTTTTCTATGGAATGGATATAAAATAAAAGTAATTTTCTTCTGTCTCATCATGAACTTTTACAAACATGATTCTAAAACTGTAAGAAAATCAGATGACAACAGTAAAATGAACATTTCTGGTTATATAATAAAGACCTTGGCATAGATAGGAGATTAGTATTAAGTCAGATCAATTATTTAATTTAATCGTTGTCTTTGTTTATACCTTGGACTTGTAAGAAAATCAAACATTTAATATTTTTCTAGGAAGAAATGTAGAAAAACCATTGGAAGATCTAGTAAATCAGTATAGTAGTTAAAAACTTTGCAGGTGTGTGTGCTTCTGTGCTTTTGGATGGCTTTGGCATCTCGTCTTGGTCTTTTTTCCTTTGATGTTTAAATCCTAGTCTAAGTATTGTCTCCTTCAATACTTTACTTCTCCCCTTTTAATAAAAGATTAAATTGTTCTTTGAAAAAAACATGGTCTTTTGTTTTATTTATTGTTTTAGTAAAAGAATAAAAATGTAACAACCAATTAACAGAGTAGCCCAATCTTGCTGTGAGGTACAGAGAATGGCTACATTCACAAAACTAGTGGCCAGAAGATCACACACCTAACAGTGAACAATACCAAAACTTTTAAAAAAGGACAAAGTTGGGCTGGCTCTTCATTTTCACTTCCCTTTAATGTCTATTCTTTCCAGCAGCTTCTGTTGTATGAGACTGCTCTATTATCTTTTGAGGTATGACCTTATGTACTTATTAATTTGCATGAATGATCTCATTATTTCCAATGCTAGACTATATTTGTGGGGCTTATGTTCCTTTTCCAATCAAGCTATTAACATGGATCAGAAGCTTCTGGATCTTCTCCAAACAGGCAGTAGCAGGAAGAGAATTATCTTTATCAAAGAACATGTGTAGTATAGGTGACCTAGAGTTGGAAGGACAGGTAGACTACCTAATGTAGTTAGCCTTACTGAGATCTTATTTTTTAATCCATGCCAAGCTTTTTGAGGCAGATGGCAGCTACAATATTTAATATTTTTAGCAAACTTTTTCCTTATCTTTTCAGGGCTGAGCACAGAGACAGGTATGACCTTTAAAATGCAACAAGATATGAAGATAAAGACATGTACATCATGTGAGATATAGGTCAAAAACAGTGATGTTCTATTTAATCTGGCTCTTGGCAATTTTCCAGATGAATATTTCTACTTATGTACATAGTATGACCTCTGAAGATTCTGGAGAGGAGGCAGGAAGCCAAAGGTAACTAGCAATCAGCTTATTTGAACTGCTACAGAGGCATTCATCTGAAAATTCACTTCAGAACCTCCTTCCTACTAGACGTGGGGTATCAGACTGTACTGGATGTTTGCAAGAAATCTCCCTGCTGGGAAGGTTGAATGTCTGAAGGATTCAGTCTTGTGGGCTTACACAACAGTTTTACTTCAAGATTCATCATCCAGCATCTTTTGAAATTTATATACATACATGTTTAAATAAGCTTTACAGAGGTTTAATTCACCTGTTGTAACATTCACCAATTTAAAAATATAATTCAATGAGTTTTGACAACTGCATAGTTATGTAGGGACTACTACAATAAGGAAATAAAACATGTCTATCATCTCTAAACAGTTATCTTTGGCCCTTTTGCAATCTACTTCTAACTCTACCTTCTAGCCTTTGGCAACCACCAATCTGTTTCCTATACTGACAGTTTTGCTTTTTCCAGAATGTCATGGACCTGGAATCATACATACGGTATATAGCATTTCAAGTCTGGCCTCCTCAAAAAGAGAACTACCAATAGTAGTTTCGAATTATCACAGAGGTAACTGGGTGCTACCAATGACTGGGTTTGGTGCAGTTTTAATTATTATCATTATTATTTTTTGATTAGATAGGAGACTGTGAAGAGCTGTGGTTACCTATTGCTCTTAAAAATGTTCTCTGGTGGCCTGGAGTTGTCAGAGGAGGGTGTCTAACTCTGGGCTTCACTCAAACTACCTGAAAGCACTCTCAAAGTTTGAAAATGTTCTTTCTTCAGCCTTGTTCAAGTTTTGCTCTCTAATCTCTACCCTGTGCCTCACATGTCCCTGCTCAGGTGAGTCCTGATATTACTTAGTGATGTATAGAATGGTCATGATGAAGGATTTAGTCACAAAACTGTATTTGACTTTTGGTTCTACAGCCTACAGGTGATATGTCTTTGGACAGTTGTCTTAACGCAATGTATTATAGGTATAGAATAAAACCTCAACATCATTTTTTGTAAGATGATATAAAACCGCCTACCTCTGAGACTTGTTGAGTAAATTCAATGATAATAAAGTATCCAGAAAAGTCCTTGGCAAATATTCTACCCTTAACAAAAGGTTATTACCCTGTTTCTCATTTAAACTTTAGGTTCAGAGTGATCATTAGGTTGACAAGGTATAAAACTAATTGGAATTAGAATCTTTATTTTCTCCCTATAACATTTGTTGCAACTAGTGACTCTTTCTTTCTTTCTTTCTTTTCTTGGAGAGGTTTTTGCTACAGAGCGTGTGCGCCCGCTCGCCAGAAAGACAGAGAGAGACAGAGAGACAGAAAGTGAGAAATCACCCCCCAGGAGGGATGACCACGCCACAATCCCTTCTCCTCCTTTCTGCTTTCGGGATCTTGGGCACACATGCATACGTGCCTGGCGTGCGTTTAAGCCACCGGGTCCGGGACTCAAACCGTGGTAGGCTACATGGGAGTCCAGCAACATAGCCATTATGCTAAGTGCTGGTCCCAGCAACTAGTGACTCTTTGAAGCAGGTGGCATGAAAGAGTTCCAAAGGCTGGAACATCTGATCTTTGTCTTCAATTCCATGATTGATCTTCACAGCTAACTCTGATCTTCACAGTCTAAGCTTTGACTCCAAAAGACAGACCATGAGCAGTAGAAACTGAGCCTGATGCTGTTTTCCCTTGGGCCACTGACAACCTAAATGAAGGCTGGCTTCCATCAAGTCATATGGATAAGACTAAAACCAATGTGTGTGTTTTCCTACTTACTTTGCTGTAGTCAACAAGACCTATTAATCTTTTTAGAATGAGAATAGGCACTTATTTTGTACTCTATTTTTAGTAATTATATTTGCCTTTCGGGATTTGTTTACATTACTAACCTTAAGAACATGTTTTCTTCTTTTCTTGCATCATGAATCACTGAAAGGGAAAGTCTGGCTAAAGGGGGTCCAAGAGTGACTGTGGCCACCGTCAGAATGATGTAGGGAGATTCTAGGCCTGAATCTTTGGTCATCTCAAACAGATGTCATGCCACAAAGGATGATTAGCCTCCTGTGCTTCAGAATGTTCCTGAACAACAAAAGGGGGAATTGCAACGCATCAGAAAATAACAGGCAGGCATGTTTCTAGGGCACATTCCCAGCCAGTCAAACAGACCAGCTGGCCTGGCTCATGGGTGAGAGATGCTATTTGAGTTGTCAGTTTGGTTGCCAGGCCCCACATCTGTAGCTCAGGATGTACCCACTTGTCTCTGAGATCTGCATCTGTTCCTGGAACTCATTCAGAGAAACGACCCTTGGAGTCAAGGCTCATTGTGGAGAAAGATGGCCTTCAAGCTGTCCAAAGAGAAGACCTTTGTTTAGGTGCTGTCATTGGACCTCTTAGAGCCTGGAGTTTCACTGTGAGGATGGATTACTAGACCTTGCTTCTTATGAGAACTACTAAAGGATCTATGGTGTGCCCAAAGACTTCCAAGTCATTTTCTAGGTGCTCAGTGTGTGTGTGTGTGTGTGTGTGTGTGTGTAGATGGCAGAAGATGAGGATGAAATGGTGGTCTGGGACTGGGGTTTATATACCATCAAAGGATTCGGTTCCTGTACTTCTGCCCAAGAAATTTATCATGACTCCAGGTCTTTCAAATTTCCTCTCTCTATTTTTAATGATAGAAAGCATATACGCACGACACAGAGAGAGAAACAGAGAGAGAGAGAGAGAGAGAGAGGGAAAAAGAGAGAGAAAAGCATCCTCAACAAGGTCTCATCACACCATAATGCCCTTTCTCCAGCTCTCTAGCTCATCAAGTCCAAGACACACAAGTGTGTCCAGGATGTTTTCAGGCTGACCCAGGTATCTGAGCCTACAGTTGGCCTTTTGACTTCCAGAACTTCAGTCCAGTGTGTTACAGGCCTCTCTTTCTTGCTCTCTCTCTCTCTTCGGCTTTATTGAGGTATAACTGACACATAAAAATTATATATATCCAAATTATACAACATCAAGCTTTAATGGACATGTATGCTGTGAAATGATTGTCAGAATTGAGTTAATTAACACACCCATTGCCTCACTTAGTTACCAAATCGGCCGTTAGTTGGATTTTGCCAACTTGTGTTCTTTTTGGTTGTGACAATAATGTTTCGCATCAGTAATGCTGGTGACTTATTCTAACTTTTGTCTTGGTCACTGTTATCAGTCAGGTCTGGTGAAAGAACAGAAACAACTTTTTACAGGGGTACTGCTAACTACTATATTAGATAAACTTCCCACGTCTCAGTGGCTTAGAACAACAGCAGGTTCTTTCCCACCCCTTGCTTCTGTGATCATTGCTTTCACCATTTTGTCCTTGACCATTGTTTCTTAATATTATCTCCATCATTCCTAATGCCTGTTATCCCCTCATCTCAGCTGTGGTTTTGTCTGGTGCCTTGAAAATGAGAGATTTTCTCTTCCAAGCAGTGACAGAAGAACTAAGTCCTTTTCCAGCTTATGTCTCTACCACTTCTATATACAACTTGCAAGGTCAGTGTTGCTCATCCACCTCAAGCCCACACAAGGGGAAAGAACATGGAGGACCTTACGTGGGAGGTTGTTCTGGCTCTGGTCTGAAGTTGGTGTCCAACAAATTCCTGCTCACAATCCATTAGCATAGGATCCCACCTATCTACAAGGGAGGTTGGGAAACATGCAGTCTGTTGGATGCATGGGAGGAAAGAAGATGGGTTGGAAAGAAGCTAGCTAGTCTACCTCACCACAAAATCATTAGAAAGGTTGGAGGTGCAGTAGCCAGAGGTTGCCATTTAGCTTTTGGCTTTGAGGTCGCACTACTACCTACAACCCAAAGATCAAGAAATTGCATCAGCCACTACCATTGGTGTCATGTCCACCTTTCTCAAACTGGTACCAGATGATGGAACATAATGAGCATCTGCTGCAAACCCTGACCTCTGGTGGTACCTACTTACCTCTCTGAACCTCCAGAAAGCCTTCCACCTTCCAAATCTAACACAAGTGGTTCTTGCTGATGGAATCTAAATGCACCCAGATCTGTATCTACGGAAACTGAGAAATGGAGTTTCAGTCTTCCTTCCCCTGTGGAACAGTGAAGAGACAGAGAGGTTGGAAATTGATACTAATGACCATAGACAACACGTTGCA